TAAGTTTTGTTTGGCATCTAATGTCCCCTCTTTCGTCACTTTCATCAGATCTTCTATTTTGCTGAGACCTTCATTCACTTGCTGAAACCCTGTTATTATTGTCCTTTGCATAGTAATCTGCCATTCCTTTTCTATTTCTTCTACCACTGTTTCAAAACTTTGGGATTGAACAGACCAAGTCTCCATTTGTTGTCTTAAATTTTTGGAGGCCATCTCAGGCTTTCCAATGAATGGGGCTTGTATAGATAATACTGTGCCCTTAACCACAATGATTGCCCCTTATATATCCTTCAACAGTTTCCACAATTTTATCAACAATCCAAACCCCTAATCATAAACCTCCCCTTAGATCTCCCTCCAATCTTTATCCAAACATTATAATATAAAAATCAACTTTTAACCCAGCAAATTCAAAATCAAATAGAACAGTGGCACAATTATTTCTTCTTCTCCCGAATTTAGCAGGCTTCTGTTATCAGTCTCACATGCAGTCCGGCAAACAAAACAACAATCACAGAGTCTCAAACTGTCCAGTCGTTGTTATTGAAGCCCGTCTTATGATCTTTCCATTAACCCCTTGATGCTCCTCAGTCCATTTGACCACGTCAGCTCCTTTCTTCTCCAGAAAACAACCAGATTCTGTTATTAACAGTTCACAGAGTCCAGGAAAAGGCAAAGAGAAACATGTCCCAGCCTAACTGCATTCACAAAACTCACGTCTCTTAAATCCTGTCCGATGGTATTACCATCTGGGATTCTTTTCCAGAAACACAAGATTTATTTTTCCGTCTCACTCTCTCGGCTTTGAAATCAGTCTGCTGTATTAAGAGTTAGTTTCGCTTTTGAGGCATACTGATAAGATAGGTTTGCTGCTGCTTTTCTTCTTTCAGCCAAATATTTTCATTCTTATTTTCAGCTTAATGGGGCTGTTTCATAAATCAAAGGCTTCAGCTTACTTAGTTGTTATATATTTTAAGCTTATATTGGTTGTTCTCCTCTCCCCCAGTAAAGGGTTCCTCACGGCTCCGTGCCAAATATGGCTTCTGCTCCGATCCGTGCTGGGTGATTTCCATCTTTTAGAGTCTTTGTAATCTTTTTAAATCTCAGTCTCCATTGACATCAAAGCATAATCTGTTATTTTTATGGAATTAATCTCAGTATTAACTATTTTAGGAATTAAATTTTGAGATGTGAATATGAAATCTATTGTGGAATAACTATTGCATACTGCTGAAAAATAACTATATCTTCTTTCATCACCTTTCTTTACCCTCCAAACATCCTTCAAGTGATTATTTTTACTTTCTTGCTCAATATTGTGTTTCTATGGAGTATATCATTCCGATCATAAAAAGTTTTATCCTTTATCTTATCCATAACCATATTGAAATCCCCTCCCATAATAACATAACCCTTCTGGGAAGTTAATGGTGTTCTGTGTCTAGTCGCGCTGGCCTCGTGACCATGGAAACTGTCTATGGACAAACGCTGGCTCTGTGGCTTGGAAACGGGGATGAGCACTGCCCCCTAGAGTCGGACATGATTGGACTAAATGTCCAGGGGAACCTTTGCCTTTACCTAATAGAGCTTTCAAGGTAAGTGAAATATCTTAAGGAGTAGTTTTACCAGTTCCAACTCCCCAGTCGGTTTCCATGGTTGAACAGGGATTCCCTGGTTGGTCTCCAGAGTCCTAGTCTGTCACTCTGTCCACTACACCACACTGGGTGCCTGTCCTTGATCTTGGCATCCTTTAATCAGTTTGAAGCTCTAATCAGAGTGAAACTTTAGGTTGCTGGGTTGGAGATCAATAGATCAGTGGCTCCAGAGACAGTGTGAAGTAAATAGCAACATTGTTAAAAGTTTTGGTTCTTTTTCAATAGGCTGCCTTGAATATGGTCACTGCATGCCTTGCTGTGGAACTGAAAGGGGATGAAATCCTGTGTATTGCGATCCATCCTGGCTGGGTGAAAACAGACATGGGGACAGAGAAGGTATGCAGGATATGAGAAGGCAAGCTGCCTCTCTAGTTTGTTCCCCAAACAAGAAAAACACAGTGCTGATCCAAGTAACCCAGATAAAACAACCCATGCAGATTGACTCAACATTAATTCTTTACAGTACCTATACATTCTTCACACCACCATATCAATTTGAAGTTAGGATGCAAGAACAGAGAGAGTAGGCATCCGTCAGTCTCGAGAGACTATAGTAATGTGCTCTGAATAGAGGTCTTGGAACAATGTCTAGTGTGGCTGAGAAGGCCAATTCAAGAGTGACAATCCCTTCCACACTGAAGACAAATACAATCTGTCCCCTTTCCAGCTCCCTGATTTGGCTGGTTTTGGGACTGCCTCTTTGCCTTGGCCTGCTGATCAAGTGTCTCTTCAAGATGGCAGAGGCCATGCTGCACCGCCTGCCTCCAGGCTGAACGCTCAGATGTCAGGATTTCCCATCTGTTGAGGGCCATTCCTAAGGCCTTCAGAGCTCACTTGCAGATATCCTTGTATCACAGCTGTGGTCTCCCTCTGGGGTGATTTTCCTGCTCTAATTCTCCATACAGGAGATATTTTGGAATCTGAATGTCACCCATTTCCACGACATGCCCAAACCAATGTAGATGTTGCTGTTTCAGTAATGTATACATGCTAAAAATTCCAGCTCATTCCAGGACTACTCTATTTGGAACTTTGTCCTGCCTGGTGATACCAAAAATGCATCAGAGACAACGCATATGGAACGTGTTCAGCTTCCTCTCCTGCCATGCACAAAGGGTCCAGGACTCACTGCAGTACAGGAGTGTACTCAGGACACAGGCTCTATAGACCTTGATATTGGTCAGCTTCTTATTAAGCCATACTCTCTTTGTGAGTCTTGAGAACATGGCAGCTGCTTTGCCAATGCATTTATCTCGCTCAACATCTAGGGAGAGAGTGTCAGAGATTGTTGAGCCAAGGTACATGAAGTCATGAACAACCTCTGATTCTTGCATGGAGATGGTAATAGAAGGAGGTGAGTCCATGCCCTGGCCATAACTTGTGTTTTCTTCAGGCTGATTGTTAATCCAAAGTCTTGGCAGGCCTTACTAAAACAATCCATAAGTTTGCTGTCCTCTGAAGATGCTGGCCACAGAGACTGGCAAAACGTTAGGAAAAACCACCTTCAGAACATGGCCAAGAAGCCCGAAAAACCCACAACAATCAATCCATAAATTGTTGGAGGTCTTCAGCAGAATGGGCAACAACAGCTGCTTCACCGGTGAAGAGGAAGTCCTGCATGCATTTCAGCTGGACTTTAGTCTTCGCTATCAATCTAGAGAGATTAAAGAGCTTTCCATCTGGTCTAGTCCGGAGATAGACACCTTCTGTTGCAGTTCCAAAGGCGTGCTTCAGCACAACAGCAAAAAAGATCCCAAACAGGGTTGACGTGAGGACACAGCCCTGTTTCACTCCGTTTCAGATGTCAAAGGGATCTGATGTTGAGCCATCCAAAACTACAGTGCCCTTCATTTCCTCATTAAAAGAACTGATGATGGTAAGGATTTGAGGTGGACATCCAACCTTGGGAAGTATTTTAAAAAAGGCCATTCCCGGTAACCAAATCAAAGGCGTTTGTAAGATCTATGAAGGCCACAAAGAGTGGCTATCGTTGTTTCCTACATTTTCCTGCAACTGTCTGAGGGAAAATACCGTGTCAGTGATGGATCTATTAACTTGAAATCCACACTGAGATTCTGGATAGACTCTGTCTGCAAGTACCTGGAGTCTCTTCAGCACAACATGGGCAAGCAGCTTCCCTGCAACGCTGAGAACAGAGATGCCATGGTAGTTATTTCAGCTGCCCCTGTCTCCTTTGTTCTTATACAATGTTACGATATTTGCATCCTTCATGTCCTGTGATAGTCCACCTTCCCTTCAACAAAGAGAAAAGATTTCATACAGCTCAGTGGTGATGATCTCTTTACAGCACTTCAACAGGGATGTTATCCTTCCTAGGTGCCTTGCTTGAGGCAAGGGAATCCAAGGCCACTTTCATTTCTGCTAAAGTTGGTTTGCTGTCCAACTCTTCCAAGGACTTCAAAGGAGCAGATTTCTTCTGTATTGGACCGAAAGCCTGCTTCAAGGGATACAAGAACACCTATCTAGAATTAGGAACAAAGTGTTGGATGCACTTTGTTTGAGTCCTCTGATGCTTGTGAGCAGCTGTTTTCAGCTTTGAATTATATCAAATCTGATACCAGAAACAGACTGACAGGTGACATGAGTGCTGCATGTGTTGCTCAGAAACGAACAATGTATGAGCCAAAGTTTGACAAATTATCAGCATGCATACAACATCAAAAATCACATTAATTGTGCAAAAGCATGCCAAGTTGAGTATCCCTTATCAAAAAAAATACATGCATATAATTATTTTTAAAGTTTGTATAAATTACCTGGCTTCAGACTATGTGTACAATGTATTACTTTAATATTTTTCCATTTACTAGAGTTAATGGTTATTTTTCAACAAAAAGTGTTTGTATCACTGAAAGTTCTGTTACTGTGTTTTTCTTTTAAGACAAAATGTGTTGATTCGTTCAGACAACTGTACGACTTGTTTTTTCTAAACTAAAACCTCAGTATTCAGGTTTAATTGCAGTGTTGGCACTTCAAAATAAATAATTTGGTTTTATGTTGCCGTTTGGGCACTCGGGCTCAAAAAGGTTCGCCATCACTGAGCTAGACTTTCTTTTCATTATTATGTTGTTTGTTTACCTAAGCATTGTTCACCTATTTACTGCTACCAAGATTACCTTAGTGAGCCAGTCTTATTTATGTTATATTACATTGTTCATGTTATGTGACCTATTTAGGTGGGAAGGAAGGGAGAGGGAGGAAGGGAGGGAGGGAGAAGGACTCCCCCATTATTTTTTTTTTGCCCAGGGCCCACCACAGTCTTGAATCGACCGTGGTCATCATAGCTCCAATTAGTCTCTTCAAATGCATCAAACAGTACTGTGTACTTTTCCAGGAGCAACTATTTTTCCATTTGAAAGTTACTTTTGATGAGAGATTCAGAAAAAAAGTGGAATTTAATATGGACAGGGAGAATGGATTAAGGGAGGGAGGGAGGGAAAGAAAGAAAGAAAGAAAGAGAGAAAGAAAGAAAGAAAGAAAGAAAGAAAGAAAGAAAGAAAGAAAGAAAGAAAGAAAGAAAGAAAGAAAGAAAGAAAGAAAGAAAGAAAGAAAGAAAGAAAGAAAGAAAGAAAGAAAGGGGAAGATGATGTGACATCTTGTTTTTATGCCAGTGATTTTGATATTGTGTACTTTGCATGTTCACCTTTCATAATGTTTTTTTCTAATTTTTATAACCTGTTTATTGTTTTAAGTATCTGGCTGGGTAGTTCAGTGGTTTAGGTGAATGGAGGCCCAAGATGTCACCCTTAAAATCCTGCCTTGAAAAGTGAGAACTTGTTCAGGGCAGTCTTTAAAGATCTTCTTCCTTTGGACCATAACGCTGCCTTCTCCTCTTTCACAGGCACCCCTGACGGTGCAGCACAGTGTGCAGGGCATCCTTAAGGTGCTTGCCAGTCTGTCATCATCATCAACAGGAACCCTTTTGGACTGGGAAGGGAGAAGAATCTTTTGGTGAGGGGATTGCTCACCTCAACACACCTGTCTCCCAGAGAGAACCTTTTTGGTACCTAATGTACTGGGAAGGAAAACTTCTTTTGTGCTGAAAAAAACATTCCCCTCTTTGTTTACACTTCAGGAGGAATTCACTGTAGAAAACACTCTCAATGTCTAACTTTACTAATTTTTGTTGTCATTAAATGATATACTACATTCTGCTGAAAATCTCACAATTTTGGTTTCCTCCCAACGGCCCTGTGTGTGTCTTGAGGTTTGCTTCACCTGTTTCAGACACCCTTTGTTAGTGCAACACGAGCATTCCTGTGTCTTCCCTTTCCAGGCTACATGGTCAATGGTGCAAATCTTCTATCCTTGCACATAGACTCTGAACTCAGTATAAGTCAATGCATGGGGTGAGCAGTAATGTGGTGGGATACCTGTTCATCCCTCTTTAGTTTTCAGCATCTGCACCAGATATAAATACCAGACAGAACGTCCTCAATAATGTTGGTTTAAAGGACAAGGAACTTAGCCATAGCCAGATGAAGTCTGCAGGGTTTCCTATCTTCTGCGGCCTCTTATCTCTCTGCAATGATCAATAGGAGATAGAATGCCTTAAGATTTTCCATATAAAATATCACTGGCTTATAGGCCAGAAAGATGAGATCTTGGTTGTAGGCTTGGAGGATTTTCTCTGGAACAGAGGATCCTAGGGTACAGGCTTAAAACCTATATAGAGCAAGAGATCTCATCTGCAGCCCAGGATGATGTTGGTCAGGGAAAACTTCTAGGAAGACATGGATAAAATTGAACTGTGCTTTGCCTCCCTGCATTGAAAGTGGTAAAGAGGACTGGAAGACCATTCCCCTTCCAAGTAGGGGTGGGGGAGAAGAAGCTGCTAGATACATTCTTTATTTGCATTAGCCATATTCTTTTGCAGGTTGCACATGGAATATTAGCATAATGGGAGACCACCATGCTAACAACCAGAGAGATAAATATATAATCAGCCAGATATACAAACCTACTCTGTAAGATTAAACAGCTAAGTCTGCAAGGGATTACAATTTACGGTAGAAACCTCATTTTAATTGCTGCTGCTGCTAAAATGTTTGCAGACTGTACCATTATATATTTATCTCTGTCTACATATGTCAGATGGAATATTAATCAATAGTGGACAAATTAATCCCTTAGATGCATCTTTATAAAAGCAAAAAACAAAAAACAAAAAACAAAAACCAGCAAGCATTTCAAAACTGTCTCCCCAAGGGCATTTATGATTTTGTAATAGTGTAGTGGACAGCATAATGGACTAGGACTCTGTAGAACAGGGTTCAAATCCTGCTCAGCAATGGAAACTGAGTGGTGGAGTGGAACTGGTAAAATCGCCCCTTAAATATCTCACTTTCCTTGAACACCTTATTAGGGTCACTATAAGTCGGTTCTGACTTGACAGCACAGAACTCTCTCTCTCTCTCTCTCTCACTCTCTCTCTCTCTTCTAAAACAGTAATCACATCGTACTGAGCGCATGGCATTACTGTGAATTTAGGAATGGCTTGCAGATACTGTGCTTTTCTATTTGGGCAACTTTCTTGAAAACAGTCATACTAGGGGTAACGGATAAATCATTTTGATGTTCAAAACGTTTTAGCATGTTTTTCACTTTGTACAGCCGGCGGACAATAAGTATTGAGGTGAAAGTCCTAAAGTGCATAAATAGAACTTAATACGTCAACCATTACTTTTATATGAATCCCACATAACAAAGTGAAACAAGCCGGAATAAACTAGATTAATCCATAGCTAAAAAGTTAAGTGATTCAAACCAGACCTGTGTGGAAACTGTAAGAAGGTCACCTTCCAATCTCAGAGGAATCTCTGAATACAGCCTATATGTCAAATATTTACCTAAGGAACCTAAAATGCACACTTTCTATCTGTTTAAAATCTATATTGGCTCAGATTTGAATCCATAGAGCAATTGAGCTAAAGATTTGGCTCTATAGGCTTTCAACACTAACATTATAAAACAGTGACCATAAATGTGGAAGAATTGCCTTAAAATCTTGAAGCTTTTTCCATAAAAAGTTATTGTTGGGCCATCCACATTCCTGACACCTGAAAAAACATCCCTAGGTATGTGAAAAATTGCCTTTAAACTGGCTTTGAACTAGGTGATTCTTCAAACTTCACCTTTATTGATTAGCCTCTGTTAGCATTTCAAATACAGGCATGTCATTTGCAAAGGCATATCCCAGAGTACACATTCCAGGAATTTACGAGGCCAAGGTTATGCCAAAGCAAGATACAGTAGGCAGGGATCAGTTACAATTCTCATCAGTTGGACACATTTTCACACAAGCATATGAAGTCTAGGAATGTCTTGTCAGGAGTAAGCTCAAGGGCAGCGGTTTGCCAGGTGGCAAACCAGAACTCAGTTCTGCTGTTGCATTACAAAGTGCTGCTGTTCAGACAAGGCATTTCATAGAATCATAGAAATCATAGAATCATATAAAAGTGAAGTTGGAAGGGGTCTACAAGACCATCAAGTCCAACCTCCTGCTCAATGCAGGAATACAATCAAAGCATATCTGCCAAGTGATTATCCAAGTTTGTCTTGAATGCCTCCAGTGTTGGAGCATTCACCAACTCCCACGGTAATTGGTTCCACTGTCGTACTGCTTGAACAATTAGGAGGTTTTTCCTGGTATTCAGCCAAAATCTGGCTTCATTTAACTTGAGTCCATTGTTGTGTGTCCTGCACTCTTGGCTGATCAAAAACAGATCCTGCCCCTCCTCTGTATGACAGCCTTTTAAATATTTGAAAAGTGCTATTACAGTATATCACCTCTCAGTCTTCTTTTCTCAAGATTAAACATGCCCAGTTCTTTCCTCATAAGGCTTTCCTCCTAAGGCTTGGTTTCCAGCCCCCTGATCATCCTTGTTGCCCTCCTCTGAACTTGTTCCAATTTGTTAGCATCCTTCTTGAAGTGTGGTGTCCAGAACTGGACACAATAGTCAAGGTGAGGCCTAACCAGTGCTGAATAGAGGACTAGCACTTTGCAGGATTTGGAAACTATACTTCTATTAATTCAGCCTAAAATAGCATTTGTCTTTTTTGTAGCTACATCACACGGTTGGCTTATATTTAGCTTGTGATCTGCGACAATTCCAAAATCCTTCTCGCTCGTAGTTTTGCTGAGCCAGGTATCCCCCATCTTGTAACTATGTAATTGCTTTCTTTTTCCAAGGTGCAGGACTTTGCACTTATCCCTGTTGAATTTCATTCTGCTGCTTTTGGCCCAGTGCTTCATCCTATCAAGGTCATTTTGAATTTTGTTTCTGTCTTCTCTAGGGTATTAGCTATTCCACCCAATTTTGTATCATCTGCAAATTTGACAAGCAATCCCTGCACTCCCTTATCCAAATCATTAATAAAAATATTGAAGAGCACCGGACCCAGGACTGAGCCTTCGGGTACCCCACTTGTTACCTCCTCCCAAGTAGAGAAGGACCCATTAATCATCATCCTCTGAGTATGATTCTGTAGCCAATCCACCTGAAACCAATCCATCTATCTAGTCCACACCTAGTTAGCTTACTAATCAGGATGTCATGGGACACTTTGTCAAAAACTTTGCTGAAGTCAAGATATACTACATCTACAGCAGTGGTTCTTAACGTGGGTGATAATGCCCCCCAGGGGGTGATTTCATTTTTCAGGGGGGCGGTAGAACGAAAAGGGGCGGCATGGGGCCACTGGAGCAGAAGGGGGCAGTAGGGGGCACGGGAGCAAGCCAAACCTGTGAAGATGGCTGCAGCCTTATAACAATGTGCATGAATATATATTTTCCTCCTATCGTAATTTAGTTTCAGAGTTTTTGTCTTGAAATTTTTAGTTCCTGCATTTTATGCCCTTTTTATATTTGTTTTTGAGTCTTAAAATTCGCTTGCAACTAAATCATTAAATGTTACTTTTTGGGGGCATTTCATTTTCTTGGAATTGAATTTTGTTTTCAGGGGTCA